GCCCCCGACCGCCCCGGCCCCGGCCGACCCAAGGTGGGCCAAGTTCGCGGGCATCTCGGTGCCGTGGCTGACTAAGCTGGCCAACGCCTTCATCAGCGGCCAGCTGGAGGCGAGGCAGGCGCTGCTGGCGCGGGATGCGGTCGATAATTTGGAGCAGCTGGGGCCCACGTTCCTGAAGCTGGCCCAGATCCTCTCTATCAGGTGTGAGGGCGTGCGGGTGCATGGGAGTGCGGGCGTTCAGGGGCGTGGGGTTGTGGCAACTTGTTGTTCATATGCGGGGGCGTGCTGCATGCGGCGAGCGCGGGCAGTCGCCAGGCCGGCGGTCGGCTTGCTGGGGCCGTCTGCTGGGTGGGCGCTTCATCGGGGCCGGTGTGTGGTGCAGCTGGCGCCGATGCGCGGGGGACGGCAGGGGCCGGCTGGAGCTCGAGGCACATTCAGGGCTTGCCAGGATCCTTTCAAACAGAATCCGATAATGATCATGCTTAGGTTTTAGGGTTTCAACTTATTGTATCTTGCCAGCCAGTTTGTTCGTCTGCTGGCAGCAACCAGTGATTGCGGCCTTCAGAAGCCAGGCAGCCAACGCGCCGACGGGGCGGCCACCCCGTCTTGCCTGCAGGCCGGACGTGCTGCCGCCCGCGGTGATGGCTGAGCTGGCGCGGGTCCAGGACAAGATCGCGCCCTTCAGCACTGAGGAGGCGCGCGCCATGGTGGAGAAGGTGCGGCGCGGGCAGTCCGGGGTAGTCCGGGCAGTCTGGGCAGTCCAGGCCGCGGGGCGGTCCGGGCCGGCTCAGGGCCGCACCCCCTGGCGCGCCCCGCTTTTGAGCCGGCACGGCGGCGATTGCTCTGTTACGGTGGACCCGTTCTGACGCACCTCCCACTCCCGAGAGGGCGGAAGCGCACCTGCGTGTGCCAAAGCAGTCTCGTGACTCGTACTGGTTGTTGCTGCTGTGCGGCGTTGCTTCAGGGGCGCCAAGGGGGCGCCGTGACTGTGCCACGGGCCGGCAACGGGCTTCTTTTGCACGCAGCCCTGCACGTCTGCACATCGTGTGCAGCGGGCCGCTGCAGTTGCCGGCGCGTCGGCCCGCGATGCTCAAAAGAGCCCGCGGTCGTCGTGCCTCCCACACGCGCCCCTTTCACGCGCGCAGGACCTGGGCCGGCCCATCGACGAGGTTTTCAGCGAATTCGGAGATGAGCCCGTCGGCGCCGCGTCGCTGGCGCAGGTGCGGCGCGCGCGCACGCGTGCCCAGTCGTGCATTGGCTGCCGCCTGCCGGCCGCGGCTGGGGGCCCCAAGCCTGCTGGGCTTGTCTTGATCCAGCGTAGCATGCGGTGCTTCTGACTCAGTGCCAATCAGATAAGTCAGTATGAACCATATGGCTGTGTCGTCGAGCCAGTGTTGCGTCATTGTGTGGCGCCACCGCAGGTGTATCGTGCACGTGTGCGGGCGACTGGGCAGGAGGTGGCCGTCAAGGTGCAGCGGCCCGGGGCGCTCTCAACCATCAGCAAGGGTGAGGCCGCGCTGCCTCGTGTCGCCCGGCGCGAGGCGCGCCATGGCCCGCTCCCCGTTCGCAACGCGGCGCGCTGGGCTTGAGCCGCGGAAAAGGGGCGGCCATGTCACACTCGCCGCGGCGTGCCATGTCTTACGACTCTCCATCGCGCCAGCAGGAGCGTCGCGCGGTGGGTGCCTTTCATAGAAGACCTGCAGCTAGAAACCAGACCTGATATCGCCGCCCCCCCCTTTGCCTTCCACCGCCCTCAAGACCTGTACGTCATGCGCCGCGCCGTGGGCGTGTACGAGCGGATCGTCAAGCGGTGGGTGGTTGTCGCAATCGATTGGGATGGCTGGGGCTGGACGCCGTATCAAGCCGGACGCCCGCCCAGCCGGGGCGGACCGCTTCTCTCCCCGAGCTCGTTTGCTCATTTCGGATCAGACAGCAGTAACCTGCTCGTGCCTATCGGCGCCTCCGCTGAGCTGATGTCATCCCTCCATTTGCTGACGTCACCCCGCCCAGGTTCACCGCGCAGACCACCGACTACCAGCAGCTGCTGTCCACCTTTGCGGAGGGTGCGGGGGCTGAGTGGGCCCCCACCTTGCGGCGGCGTAGCTTGTCACGGCACCCAGGCCATGCGCACACACACGCACACACACACACACACACACACACACACACACACACACACACACACACACGCGCGCGCGCGCGCGCTTCCCCCCTCCTCCCCCCCAAGCACACACATGCGCTCTCTCTCTCTCGTGCGCGCGCACACACACGCACTGACATACACACACACACACCCTCTCCATCTCACATCCACACTCACTCAACCCCCAGGCCTCTACACAGAGCTCGACTTCCGCAACGAGGCCCTCAACGCCTCGCGCATGAGGGAGCTCCTCGACGCCAGCGACTCGGGGGCCGGCGCGCGCGTCGTCATCCCCGCGCCCCTCCTGGAGCTGACCACCAGGTGAGGCGGCCCTGGGCCCCCTGCCCCTTCCCCTGTGCCACCCCTTCGCGGCGCCTGCTGCTGCAATTCATTTTCCGTTCTCGGGGTCGTGGGCGCGTGCTGTTGTCACAACGGCTGACTTGGCGGGTGACTCCTCAGAACACACACACACACACACACACACACACACACACACACACAACATACACACACACGTGCACTCATGCTTACACATGAAACACACGCACACACACGCACACACACACACTAAACCTGTTCTCGCGTCTCTCCCTGGCGCCCAGGCGTGTGCTGACGATGGAGTGGGTCAGCGGCGTCAAGCTCACCACGCTGCAGCCTGAGGAGATCCGGTCCCTGGTGGGGGTGGGCCAGGAGGCGTTCCTGGTGCAGCTGCTGGAGATAGGCTTCATCCACGGGGACCCACACCCTGGTGAGTACGTGTG